TAAACCAGGTCTAAAAACTAAAACCAGGTCTAAACCAGGTCTAAAACCAGGTCTAAAACCAGGACTAAACCAGGTCTAAACCAGGTCTAAACCAGGTCTAAAACAAAACCAGGTCTAAACCAGGACCAGGACTAAACCAGGACTAAAACCAGGTCTAAACCAGGGACTAAACCAGGACTAAACCAGGTCTAAACCAGGTCTAAACCAGGTCTAAACCAGGACTAAACCAGGTCTAAACCAGGTCTAAAAACCAGGTCTAAAACCAGGTCTAAAACCACTAAACCAGGTCTAAACCAGGTCTAAAAACTAAACCAGGTCTAAACCAGGCTCTAAACCAGGTCTAAACCAGGTCTAAAACCAGGTCTAAACCAGGTCTAAACCAGGACTAAACCAGGTCTAAACCAGGTCTAAACCAGGTCTAAAACCAGGTCTAAAACCAGGTCTAAACCAGGTCTAAACCAGGTCTAAAACCAGGTCTAAACCAGGTCTAAACCAGGTCTAAACCAGGTCTAAAACTAAACCAGGTCTAAACAAGGTTTAAAACCGGGTCTAAAACCAGGTCTAAACCAGGTCTTAACAAGGTCTAAAACTGGGTCTAAAACCAGGTCTAAAACCAGGTCTAAACCAGGACTAAACCAGGTCTAAAACCGGGTCTAAAACCAGGTCTAAACTAGGACTAAACCAGGACTAAACCACGTCTAAACCAGGTCTAAACCAGGTCCAAACGAGGACTAAACCAGGTCTAAAACCAGGTCTAAAACCAGGTCTAAACCAGGACTAAACCAGGTCTAAACCAGGTCTAAAACCAGGTCTAAACCAGGACTAAACCAGGTCTAAACGAGGACTAAACCAAGTCTAAAACCAGGTCTAAAACAGGTCTAAAACCAGGTCTAAAACCAGGTCTAAACCAGGTCTAAAACCAGGTCTAAAACCAGGACTAAACCAGATCTAAAACCAGATCTAAACCAGGTCTAAACCTGGTCTAAAACCAGGTCTAAACCAGGTCTAAACAAGGTCTAAAACTGGGTCTAAAACCAGGTCTAAACCAGGTCTAAACAAGGTCTAAAACAGGTCTAAAACCAGGTCTAAAACCAGGTCTAAACCAGGACTAAACCAGGTCTAAAACCAGGTCTAAAACCAGGTCTAAACTAGGACTAAACCAGGACTAAACCAGGTCTAAACCAGGTCTAAACCAGGACTAAAACCAGGTCTAAACCAGGACTAAACCAGGTCTAAAACCAGGTCTAAAACCAGGTCTAAAACCAGGTCTAAACCAGGAAACCAGGTCTAAACCAGGTCTAAACCAGGTCTAAACCAGGTCTAAACCAGGTCTAAAACCAGGTCTAAACCAGGTCTAAACCAGGTCTAAACCAGGACTAAACCAGGTCTAAACCAGGTCTAAACCAGGTCTAAACCAGGACTAAACCAGGTCTAAACCAGGTCTAAACCAGGGTCTAAACCAGGTCTAAAACCAGGTCTAAAAACCAGGGTCTAAACCAGGTCTAAACCAAGGTTTAAAACCGGGTCTAAAACCAGGACTAAACCAGGTCTAAACCAGGTCTAAACCAGGACTAAACCAGGTCTAAAACCAGGTCTAAAACCAGGTCTAAACCAGGACTAAACCAGGTCTAAACCAGGTCTAAAACCAGGTTTAAAACCAGGTCTAAAACCAGGTCTAAACCAGGTCTAAAACCAGGTCTAAACCAGGTCTAAAACCAGGTCTAAAACCAGGTCTAAACCAGGACTAAACCAGGTCTAAAACCAGGTCTAAAACCAGGTCTAAAACCAGGTCTAAACCAGGACTAAACCAGGACTAAACCAGGTCTAAACCAGGTCTAAACCAGGACTAAAACCAGGTCTAAACCAGGACTAAACCAGGTCTAAACCAGGACTAAACCAGGTCTAAAACCAGGTCTAAAACCAGGTCTAAAACCAGGTCTAGGGTTAGGGTTAAACCAGGTCTAAAACCGGGTCTAAAACCAGGTCTAAAACCAGGTCTAAACCAGGACTAAACCAGGTCTAAAACCGGGTCTAAAACCAGGTCTAAAACCAGGTCTAAACCAGGTCTAAACCAGGTCTAAACCAGGACTAAAACCAGGTCTAAACCAGGACTAAACCAGGTCTAAACCAGGACTAAACTAGGTCTAAAACCGGGTCTAAAACCAGGTCTAAAACCAGGTCTAAACTAGGACTAAACCAGGTCTAAACCAAGTCTAAAACTGGGTTTAAAACCAGGTCTAAACCAGGTCTAAACCAGGTTTAAAACCAGGTCTAAAATCAGGTCTAAACCAGGTCTAAAACTGGGTCTAAAACTACGTCTAAAACCAGGTCTAAACCAGGACTAAACCAGGTCTAAACCAGGTCTAAAACCAGGTCTAAACCAGGTCTAAACCAGGACTAAACCAGGAATAAAACCAGGACTAAACCAGGTCTAAACCAGGTCTAAACAAGGTCTCAAACCAGGTCTAAAACCAGGTCTAAAACAGGTCTAAAACCAGGTCTAAAAATAGGTCTAAACCAGGTCTAAAAATAGGTCTAAACCAGGTCTAAACCCAGGTCTAAACCAGGTCTAAAAATAGGTCTAAACCAGGTCTAAATCCAGGTCTAAATCCAAGTCTAAAACCAGGTCTAAAACCAGGTCTAAACCAGGTCAAAACCAGGTCTAAAACCAGGTCTAAACCAGATCTAAACCAGGACTAAACCAGGTCTAAACCAGGTCTAAACAAGGTCTCAAACCAGGTCTAAAACCAGGTCTAAAAATAGGTCTAAACCAGGTCTAAACCCAGGTCTAAACCAGGTCTAAAAATAGGTCTAAACCAGGTCTAAACCAGGTCTAAATCCAGGTCTAAATCCAGGTCTAAAACCAGGTCTAAAACCAGGTCTAAAACCAGGTCTAAACCAGGACTAAACCAGGACTAAACAAGGACTAAACCCAAACTAAACCAGGACTAAAACCAGGTCTAAAACCAGGTCTAAACCAGGACTAAACCAGGACTAAACCAGGACTAAAACCAGGACTAAACCAGGACTAAAACAGGATTTAACAGGACTAAACCAGGACTAAACCAGGACTAAACCAGGACTAAAACAGGATTTAAACCAGGACTAAACCAGGACTAAACCAGGACTAAACCAGGACTAAACCAGGACTAAACCAGGACTAAACCAGGACTAAAACCAGGACTAAAACAGGATTTAACAGGACTAAACAAGGACTAAACCCAAACTAAACCAGGACTAAAACCAGGTCTAAACCAGGACTAAACCAGCACTAAACCAGGACTAAAACAGGATTTAACAGGACTAAACCATGCTGCGCAGACCATGTCTATTCGCCTTCTATCAATAATATTTTTAATTTGGTTCAGTAAAGTCTGGACTTTTTATTGTCTTTTATCAGACAAAACATCTTATGTTACGATATCCTAGTCTTTGCTTCTCTACAGTAAACCAAGTAATCCAAAGTATTCAGATTACGTTACTCACTTTAAGTAATTTAATGGATTATGTTACAAACTACATTTTGGGGTATGTAATCTGTAATCTGTAGGGGAATACATTTTAAAAGTAACCTTCCCAACACTGTCCACATCACAGTAGGAACATTTATTATATTCTATACCAAAGTGTCTGATGAATTAATTGGAAGGGTAGATACCAGAGAGAGTTTTATAGTGGACTTCTTTTGTTTTTGGAGGAATGGGGAGATAATTTGTTCTAATTTTTATTTTTTCTAGGTTGCTAAAAATAACACAATCTAATATCCTTAACTTCTGTCCTCTGAACAGTACAAACTACACTTCATAGCTGGTCGAAATCAGTTAAAAATGTAACATAAAAATTAAGATTTTTTTTTACAAAATGCTCAATGTGCCAACAGTCAGCATCAAGAGCCACGACGACTGGAACCTCGACGGTAAAAATCAGGTTTAGGTGTGCATTCAGATGTGGGTAGGCTTACCCATGAGGTAACTGTTGGGTAAGCCTACCTTAGTTCAAATGTTAGGATTAAGTTTAGGCAGGTGGCAATCATGGTTAAGATTAGAATCAGTGTGGAAATGTATTTAAATTCTCCCAACAATTCTGTGGCAGTATGTATAATAAATAACTGATGTCAAATGTACCAGTACTTACAGAAAAGGGCCCTAAATAAGCTCCTGTCCGTCCTGGAGAACCCCCAGCACCCCCTGCACTGCACCATCATCAGACAGAAGAGCGTCTTCTTTGCTTTGCTCCACGGACAGACCCTGGAATTCGTTTGTACCACATGCATACGCTACACATATTCAACGCTTCACTATAATTTGATAAATACACAAATATGCCATATGTGGCAAATGTAGCAGAAGACCTTCCAGAGGAAATACTCCAAGACTTTCCAGAGGGAACACTTTGAGGGAATTAACCATTTCAAATTAAATGAGATGGTTTAACCCACTGCATCACGTCTGATTCGTCTGTAGGAAAAATACGAAGCGGTATGAATGATTCTGTACCAGTTATTTATAGCCACACAGACAGTCCTCAACACCGGCCAACTAAGCTAGCTCAAACTTTATTTGTAGGTGAATTTTTGAACAGTTTTCCTCATGTCTCTCCTGGACATATTTAGTATTTATCATTTAAATTAAAACCGTGAGATGTTTAAAAAGACGCCACACATCATCTCTATAACTCTACCAGCACTTGGCTTTCATTTCGACCTGAGGCTGAAGCGACTTTTCTACAGCACAGGCAGGCTACTGCAGACAACTTTCCCTGCAGTCTTATCTATTAGACATGTAGTTAAATGTGCTGTTTTATACAAGTACAATATCCTGAGTGACATGTGTCTGAGACACAAAGGTGACAAAGAAGTGCAGTGTAAATGTTGCAATAAAACTGCAACAGTTTGCTGCAGTAAAACTTGAATTTCCTTCAAGATCAATAAATTCTCTCTCTCTAATACACATAATACAGATAGAGCCACTCCCCCCTGCTCTAGGGTGAACAACCTTTACCTCAAAGCGCTGCGAGCTCACTTTTTTGCCCTTCTTCATCCAGGTGATGCGTGGTTTAGGCTCGCCCGAAGCCTGACACACAAATGATGCAACTCCCCCAGAGACCCCCGTCTGGTCCTCGGGAGCCTGGATGAAGCTGGGCAAACCTGCAGGGCACAAGATTACTCTGTTAACAAGCTGATGTCCAAGAGTGGAGCTTTTCTTGTGTATATACTTCCACATTCACATTGTTGTTGTTGTGTTTTACCCACCTCTGCAGAGAGGATGGAGATTTAGTTAGGAAGTTACACTGAGTAGTGGTACTTACTGTGGGAGGCAACAGGCAGCAGCAGACACAGTAGCAGCAGCACTTGTAGGCCTGTCTGGACCAGACTCTCTCTGTGACCTATGATCCTGAAGAAGGAAGGGGGCAGGGGGCACCAGCTCTCATCTAGGGTCTCATCCTGGGTCTCATCCTGGGTCACCTGCCACACCAAGGTCATCACACAGTACCATGTATTTTTGATTTATTATTAAATCAAAAATTAGCAGATGATAAAAGATGTGAGCAAAAGCTCTAGCCTCATGTATCTCCCACCTTTATTAACAGCATTTGCATATCAAACAAGCAAAGCAGATGCTGAGTTACAATATTTTCATCTAAGAGGAGGTGTTTTAGTTCCGTCCCTATTTGCCAAAATCAACAAATGAACATGTTTTATCTAAAACCACCATCACAAGGTAGAGAAGATGATTTTGGATAATACTCCTCTTTAAGCAAATAATTCACACAAAATACTATATATGTTTCATATTGTGGTATAGGGGTTGCACTGTGTTTATGTGCTTAAGGCCCAATCACTAAAAAGCTCAAATCCTCCTCTCTGTCCTCCTCCAGCCCCGCCTCTCTGTCCCCTCCAGCTCCGCCTCTCTGTCCCCTCCAGCCCCGCCTCTCTGTCCCCCTCCAGCCCCGCCTCTCTGTCCCCCTCCAGCCCCGCCTCTCTCTCCCTCTCCAGCCCCTGCTCTCTGTCCCTGCTCTCTGTCCCCCCACCAGCCCTTCCTCTGTCCCCCTCCAACTCTTCCTGTCTGTCCCTTTCCTGCCCTTCCTCTCTGTCCCCCTCCAGCTAATTCTCACAGTCTGTACCTCATTGTGTTCTGGCCATATGGTTATGACTCATGTCAGCTAAAGCTTTGAGTTCAAATTTGTACAACCATCTTCTAAAATTGTTCCCTCAAAAACATGGCTGAAGAGATTTTAGATCCATCCATGCATGTTTCAGTAATATAGCGATCTCTCTTGGGCCCTATTCAAATCCTCCTTAGAATACAACTGCAGAACAATTGTGTAAAATATTCCACCTACATCACCAATACTCCCACACAACAATTCTCCATAAATGTACAAAAGCATGATACAATGCAATGTGCAGTAGTTTCATTGAAGGCTGATTGTGTTGTGACAGTGCTCTGAAAGGGGAGTAACTTAGTGTGGGGAGCAAATGGGGGGGGGGGGGGGGACTCAAAGCATCAAGACAGAAAATTTAACTAATTGGACATTTTAGGACATTATTTTCAGTGAATATAGCATTTTCAAAACAATTAAAGGTAACATGGTGATCTAAACATGTAGTAACAATTATGACCTCATAGAAGTGCAATACCACCTCTAACACACAAAGATAATCTATAGATCTGGATGATATGGCACAGGGCTCTGACTCAGGAATATAACTTTGCTTGTAAGGCAAAGCACCGATATGGACATTTTAGGCCAAGACAGATTGCAGTATTATAAATATTATAAAAACTTTAGCCAATAACCAATACGACATAAGCCCAGTTCTTTTCTATAAATTGTGTGGTTATTTTATTCTAGACTGAGGCAAGGCAAGGCAAGGCAAGTTTATTTGTATAGCACAATTCGTACACAAAGTAATTCTGAGGACAAAGAAATATTGCTATGTACTTTCATTTTTAGTTTTCTAACATAAGGACAAAATCCTGTAATAGCACAAAACACCCTTTACTTAACTGTAAAAAAAAGTTTTATGTAAGATTATTTATGACATCATATGTTTAAAATGGATAGGCCAACAGATTCAAATTAGACAAATGTCTGGCTGAACTCTCATATGCTGAGGATAGGCAGAGACCTGATTTCTGATAGGCTGAGAGCTGATAGGCTGAGGATAGACTGAACTCTGATAGGCTGAACTCTGATAGACTGAACTCTGATAGGGTGAACTCTGATAGGTTGAGTTCTGATAGGCTGAGTGGAAGTGAAAGAGTCTTCTGAGCTTTTCTTACAGTACCATTATACTTTATTCAAGAAAACGTAGCTTTCATTCATTCAGCTTTTTAACATTTTGTGAATTTATTGTTTCAATTAGATTTTTTCAATATTAACAATAATAATAAATATAGACGTAAGCAGCAATGATTAGCCCTTGCTCACACCTACGCTGTGCTCCTACACCTAAGCCACACCTCACCCTAACCCTAGCCTAAACCTAAACCTAATCTAACCTGTAACCCTGACCTTAATCCTCACCCTACCTCTAACCCTGTGCCTTGACCCTACCCCTAACTCTACCCTAACCCCTACCTCCTAACCTAACCCTAACCCCTAACCTAACCCTGCCGTTTTTCTCAATTTTTTAAGTGGTGATTAAAAAAAAAAAAAAAAAGATGGAGGACTTTCAGTCTGTAAGAGGGCATAGTCACAATATAATTTTTGTTGCTACTGCCATGATGCATCTGGTTAACAAATTTGGTTTGGCTGCGCCAAAGTTTTTGATGTGAGCATATCACAAATGTTGACAAGAGCTGTTGCAGGGGGAGAGCTGTTGACCTCGACTGGGGACGTTGTCCGGAGGTGGAAGGAATACTGTGAGGATCTCTTCAATCCCACCGAGTAGGAAGCTGAGACTGGGGACTCGGAGGTGGACTCGTCCATCACCCTGGCTGAAGTCACAGAGGTGGTTGGCAAGCTCCTTGGTGGCAAAGCTCCGGGGGTGGATGAGATATGTCCTGAGTATCTTAAGTCTCTGGATGTTGTGGGGCTGTCTTGGCTGACACGCCTCTTCATCATCCTGTGACAGTCAGGGACAGTACCTCTGGACGGGCAGATCAGGGTGGTGGTCCCTCTGTATAAGAAGGGGGACCGAAGGGTGTGTTCCAATTACAGGGGAATCACACTCCTCAGCCTCCCCGATAAGGTCTATTCCAGGGTACTGGAGAGGAGAATATAGTCGATAGTCGAACCTCAGCTCCAGGAGGAGCAGTGTGGTTTTCGTCCAGGGAGTGGAACATTAGACCAGCTCTACACTCTCCATAGGGTGCTCGAGGGTTCATGGGAGTTTGCCCAACCAGTCCACATGTGCTTTGTGGATCTGGAGAAGGCATTCGACCGTGTCCCTCGTGGTGTCCTGTGGGGGGTGCTCTGGGAGTGTGGGGTCTGGGGCCCTTTGCTAAGAGCTGTCCGGTCCCTGTATGACCGGAGCAGGAGCTGTGTTTGCATTGTCGGCAGTAAGTCAGACCTTTTCCCGGTGCATGTTGGACTCTGCCAGGGCTGCCCTTTGTCACCGGTTCTGTTCATTGTATTTATGGACAGAATTTCTAGGCGCAGTCAGGGGCCGGAGGGGGTCCGGTTTGGGGACCACAGGATTTCATCTCTGCTGTTCGCAGATGATGTTGTCCTGTTGGCTCCATGGAACCAGGACCTGCAGTGTGCACTGGGGCGGTTTGCAGCCGAGTGTGAAGCGGCTGGGATGAGGATCAGCTCTTCTAAATCTGAGGCCATGGTTCTCGACCGGAAAAAGGTGGCTTGCCCTCTCCGGGTGGGTGGAAAGTCCTTGCCTCAATTGGAGGAGTTCAGGTATCTCGGGGTCTTGTTCATGAGTGAGGGGAGGACGGAACGTGAGATTGACAGGCGGATCAGTGCAGCTTTGGCAGTGATGCGGTCGCTGTATTGGACAGTTGTGGTGAAGAGGGAGCTGAGCTGAAAGGTGAAACTCTCGATTTACTGGTCAGTCTTCGTTCCTACTCTCACCTATGGTCATGAGCTCTGGGTAGTGACCAAAAGGACAAAATCGCGGATACAAGTGCTCAAAATGAGTTTCCTCCACAGGGTGTCTGGACGCTTCCTTAGAGATAGGGTGAGAAGCTCAGTCACACAGGAGGAGCTTAGAGTAGAGCTGCTGCTCCTCCATGTCGAGAGGAGCCAGTTGAGGTGGCTCGGGCATCTGTTCCGGATGCCTTCTGGGCATGTCCCACCGGAAGGAGGCCCCGGGGAAGACTCAGGTCATGCTGGAGGGACAATGTCTCTCGGCTGGCTTGGGAACGCCTCGGGGTTCCCCCGGAGGAGCTGGAGGACATGTCTGGGGTGAGGGAAGTCTAGGAGTCCCTGCTTAGACTGCTGCTCCTGCGACCTGGCCCCAGATAAGCGGAAGAAAATGGATGGATGGACTTTCGGTCTGTAAGAGGGCATAGTCACAATATAATTTTTGTTGCTACTGCCATGATGCATCTGCTTACCAATTTTGGTTTGGCTGCACCAAAGTTTTTGATCAAGAGCATGTCACAAATGTGTCTCTTTTGTTATTTTTATAGCTCTATGACAAATTTTATTGTTCCATACAAATTGCCTAGAGGGCAACCCATTTTTGTATTTTCTCACATTTTCTCACATTAATCTGTTCAATGTCAGGATGTCCACCTACTATTTAAGTTTGAGTGAAATCAACCAAAGTTTGTGCGATTTGGCAGTTGTTCCATTATATCATGAAGAGGTTCTGTCATCGCTATGTGAATGCAGTAAAAATATGACATGGGTGTTACTGGCTTTTGTGATCAGGACGCCAGGACTGAATTTTGTGGAAAATATCTGAAAATTGATTAAAAGAATAATGAATTAATTAATTAAAAAAAATCTCCCCATATGCCCCCAGTAGATGTTACAACTGTTTCAAATTTCACTGAAATCAGAGTTTGTTTGTGAAAATGGGGGCAATTTGTAAAAATGCAATATTTCTAAAATTCTGGGCATTTTTGTCACTTCACAGCTCAGAGACTGTAAGATGTGGGTCTAAAGTTTGGGTAAATTTTGATGCTCCATCCCATGAGAAAATGTGTATTGAATTTGAGCTCCGTTGGGTAAACGCCCTAGGAAGAGTACAGAAAAGACAAAAAATGCTGACTGGAGCAGACAGCATTGGTGTAATAATATATATTTTACTTGTCTTGTCATGATCTACGATCTGTGTCAAATTTCATGATTCTACATCCACATTTTTTTTTGGTATCGTTTCTATACCCTAATTCTTGCTTCTTGCTTGCTGATGCACCATTTGATTTATTTTCGGAAAATGGAAATATCAGGAATGTAGAGAAAAACAAAATAAGAAAGAACATTCTGATATGAGAACAATGTTTGTTCTGCTTTTTTTTAGGGTCTCTGGTCACTATGGGCATGTCACTTTGCATC